CAAATGTTTTTTGGCTGCTTTGTTTTGTGTATACAGTGATTATTAAAGCTCAAAACAGAAGGCCAAACAATATACAGAGAACCGCGCCGCAAAGCTACAGAACTGAAATCAAAATTCTACCTTTCTCCTGGGTTATTTGACTCTGAACAACGTGGCCCAGGAGCTACGCTTTTAGGCTGGCCTAAATCTATATATTATGGTTGATATTAATGGGAACCCTTGAATACCTTTGTTAGCAGTTTTAAGTTTATTTCTTATTTTGATAAGGATTTTGTATCAGTGTTGCAGTTCATGTAATATATCAAACAAGAAAGAAAGTGTTTGACCACATTTCCAAACACCGAGAAGAGAGTTGAAAATATGACACGTTGCGGAGTATTTTTTTGAGGTGTTTGGAAATGTGATCGAACACTGTCTTGAGTGTTTGATATATCTTATCAATCGAAACTAAAACTAAGGAGAAAACAGAGAGTTAAAATCATAAAAATCTAATGCTAATTAATATCAGATATCCAAACACCGTCACGGTCGTGATTTCTTTTCTTTAAACTTGATGGATTATTAATGAGTTTGAGAATTTGATTTCAACTTTAATATGTGATTCATTTAATTCTAACTAGAAGAAAACAGAGCATATTATAACATAGGGTGCACACTAGTCCTACCTAATTCCCATTGAGCCATCGTGAACAAAATCCCTATATATGCACAGCCATGCGTACGCAAGATGACGTGTGCAGTTTCAGTTTAGCTGCAAAATTTCCGTCAAATTTAATGCAAGTTCCTTTTGTTTCAGTTTTGGCAATGAGAAGATTATTCTGAACAATCCAAACTCTACTTTGAGCTTTTGACTTTTGCCAAGCCGAGATGTTTACTTAAACTTAAATATTTTTGACTTTGTTTGCCTACATTTTCATTATTATTAATTTGAAGAAGCGAATTTTTCATTGTCAATTTTAGAAACCAGGTTAAGTGTTTTCGTTCAACCATTTCTCAAATGATTGTGGCGTGTTAGGATCCTAATGACCTTTGTTTTCCTTCACTGTGCATTCGGAGAACTTTGTAGTCAATCACAAATAAAACATGTAGCACCCAAGTTGTTGTCGCCATGTTATAAAAGAATTCGTTCATGAGCTTAGCTGTGCGTATATCAAATTATGGATGTACTTGGGAAGTTTGGAGAGCATTTAAGAAGCTAGAGTTGCTCTCAGCTATCACCTCGAGCAACTCTTATGCTTCGTGCTCTCCAAACTTCCCGCGTACATCCATAACTTGATATACACTTGCTAAGCATGAACCAATTCTTTCATACAGTTGAAACCAAAAATGAACTACAACATATCCCCAAAATGGCTAAGAATTTGTAGAGAAAAAGGTTAAAAACAACACACCACAGGAAATTCAAAACTTGGAGTTTATTCCATGAGCAAGTTCAGTTTGAATAATTGCAACAATTATGAACAATAAAGAATCTTCAACATTTTTGTTGTATTGATCATTATGAACACTGCTAGCTAGCACAAGTCAAATATTACCTAACACATATGAAGATGTACTGTCAACAAATTATAACATCTTGATTAAATCTGAAATGCATAACAATGGAGCAATCTGATTGGTTGACACACATAAGGTGTTTTTCTACATTTTACCATCAAGCTAAGGTTTTGTTAACAATTTACATGAGATAACTGATCGAGAACTAATAATTTTATTTTAGTTTGTTTAATGGAGTTCTACCTTAAATTGTAGTGCTATCTTGTTTCTTGATGTAGTTATGAATACAATCCGAATTACCTTGCGCAGATTTTGGTATAAAAATGTTCTTGTTATAGAAAAATTCCATTGGCTCTCTGTACAGTTATTACACAGTGAAAACACACACTTTGAAGGTAGAGAAAATATGTTGGAAACTGTAAACATTTAAGGCAAGCACAGGTTTTGTTATAATGTTATGAAATAATGTTCAGAAACTGTTTAATAAATATCATGAGTTGGTTTGTATAGGAGTATGTTCAGCACTGGGCTTTTGTTCAGCATAAGAAATAATAATAAAAAAATGTTTTCAAGGATGTATTTAATACTAAAGATCATGTATGGATAGTAATATTTTCTGCTGTTGTTTATAATAATGACAAGTTGACCTGTATTTTGCATGGGTTATTCCTACCAGCAAGAATTTAGTATATCATTGAACATGGACATTTCTGACTAGAGTAGAAAACAGTATATATATTAAATTTGAATCTGAAGCGAAGGTTTGCTTTTGGGTTTTTCAAATTGATAAATTACTTTTGTCCATTTTGCAAAGCCACCAAATTGTTAATTCTATAAAATCAACTCTTTTAGCCTAATTCAACACTCAAACAAGCTAAATGCATTGAGTCCAGTATTTGAACATAATAAAATTCACTGACCACGCTCTCAACATACTAACATGACAAGAATCGATGCACCTCCAAAACCTCAACACATTGTATGTACAAATTTGTTAATTAAAGTAAATACAAACATAAAATAATTTTGTATCCCTTACTCACAAATCATGAAATAGTATTTTGCTCTGCAAAAATGTTGCAGCCAAAAACAAAATCTCTGTGGACATTTTAGAATCCACAAATGTAAGTGTTGTATTAAGCAAACGTGTACTGCTATGTCTAAAATCAACTTCGAACACTTCTAATCTGTCATTCCAAGTTTTAACTGAGATTCAGTACTTATATTTATTGAAGATACCTACAAATATTGTTGAGAATTTGGTTTTCCAGTCACTTGGCATTATGTAACTTTTAAAGTGTCCACTTGCAAGCTTAATTATATTTCAAGCATCTTTGGACTTTAATAAGTAACATATTTCCTAAAGGAAGTCACATTTAACAATTTAACCCATTTTCAACCTGAATGTCAAATTACCCGTAGTCTTTCGTACAAAATTATATATTATAAAGTTTGTAATTAAAGCATCTTTGTTTGAGTGTGAATCTCTCTCTTCAACCTTATTAAACATGCAACTGCTTCTGGGGTCGTCAGCTTGTATCCAAAGAGTGATGTGGTTGTTCCACTACAAAGGACAACATAGCAAATAAAATTAATGCAATGTCAAATGTACAATCACTTTTTTATAATTATGGTGAACTTTGTTGACAAGTAGAAACTTTGTTGATTTCTCCTTCCACATCCTGAGTTTTTTATGAATGTATAGTCAACAAGGTGTAGCCGAGTTGTAGTATTGCTCATTGAAAAGAACGGTGGTTTGTCTAATTGTTTTAGTAGACACCCTAAAGGAATATGGCACAAAATCTACAATTTTGTGTATTTTTTAGCCTAAAATGAAGAATAATTTTCAGTGTTAAGAGCAGCATGTGCATGATCATTGTCTATCAACAAATAAAAAAATAATGAGAAAGCAAAATCAAATTTGTGGATTTCCAATAAAACACAGCTAGAAATATCATTTTGCTCTGACTACATGTATTACTTTGCTACAGCTCCTAATTACTACAAAAAGATAATTGACAGCCGCATTAAATGGAACACTTGGTCGAGTTGTTAATTTCTGCAATTGCATGATGTTATTGGACACATTAGATCACAACTTAACATAATACATGTACATTGAATCAATCTCACCAGTTGATGTACTCATGTGCCGGTGACCATCGTCTGTCAGAACTGGGGCCACATTCAGAGAAAGACTTCACATTTAGACTTTTCACAAGACTGCTTTTCCGTGTCTGTCTTAGTGCATTGACATCTACAAAGCAACCAAAACTTTAAAACTCATTTTCCCATGTTTTTCTTCTTATTTAATAATTATGCATTTTCTGCGAAACCAAAAGGTTAAGGTGGCTGAACACAGTTTTTGACACCTGTGTTTCATTCACGTTTTCTTTAAAACCCTTGATCCCTCGGTCGCCAAAAATGGCAGCAAGCAAATTAACAACACAAACTTTGGTTTTTTGATGGTTAAGCTGACGTATGTGCCATTGTCATGGCAACATGAATAAATAAACAGGCCTTTAAAATCGGTTTTGTTTATTTTTAGAAAATCTAGTCATTAGATTTTGTTTATAATTTGCATGCAACAAGCTTGTTACAATTCTCACAAGTTGACACCATTTTGCTAATAATTTAACAGAGAGATCTTTAACTATCCCTTGTTGAGGGTTCACTGGAATATCT